CCTGACTCCACTCGTCCTCCTTGCATGAAGGGGGAAAACAACGACTCCACCTATGAAGACTTGAGCAAGGACAAGTGAGCAAGAGAAAAAAAACCACGACTATGGTGAGTGGCAGTTGATACCAAGGCCACACGCGCAGGGGCTTGTTTCTGCCGCGGCAGCTGACTGCTGCGCCGCGCTGCCGGCAGGCTCTTTGCGCACTCGTTAGCATTTGGCAGTGTGAGCATTGCTTTACCTTTGATTGAGCAGGGGGATGAGCTGCTTTTCAAAACCGCTCAGGTTTTCTGCTGCGCCCCGGGTGCTCCTCACAAGGCACAACCACATCTCACGCCTCAGAGAATCGTTCCAGCCTGGTGGCGTTCCCAGCTTCTCGGAAAGTGCAAACACGAGGAGGACCTCACCACGCAGATCTCAGCAGCCCCTTACGCTCTCAGTAGCCATGGAGGATACAGTCATAAGCACATAATGCTTAAAAATCATGAGTATGTGACAGCGTCTGAATTTACTGCATCACCTCTCTGTTACTGATCTACCCGATTTCGTTAGAAAATCTGCCCATGGCTGTCACCCTGAAAGAAAGCTTATTTCTCTGTACCCATCCCTCACATTTTAGCTGGCAAGCTATCACAAATCCCTCCTGCGCCGGGAGCCGCACTGAGCAGCTGCTCCGTGCACTTTTGCCCTCATTAAGTATCACCCTTTTGATGCTTCAGGGCAGCAGTAAACACTATTACTGAGTGGCATTGTGTGCGACTGGCTTCATCGCTGAAGGTTGGGTTACTTTTATACTTTTGTCACCGAACTACTGGAGTGAAGATTAATCGATGGGGTAATTGTAGAACTCTGAAATCTGTCTGGCTAACCTTTCTTGTGGGTTTCGCAGTCACGCAGCAAATCCAGCAGGCTCCCACAGCGAGACGCTACCAACACAATGTCACAAAGGAAAAGCCATTATGCAGGATTTCCCTTCTCCACCACAGCCTAATGAGGATAACCAATTCAAGAGGAACTGCTGCAAGGATGAATGAATAATGAGAGAAAGAGGACGGGAGTTCCTGTGATCCAGACAGAATAAGAAACAACCCCGTGAAGGAAAAGAAAAACACATAGGCTGGAGCTCAGCTCCAAGCAACAGACAGATGTGGACCTTCACTCAGTTCCAGGAGGCACCCACTGGTTTCGAAAGCATCGTAGAGGCCCAGGGCCAACCCAACAGTCGCTGCAGACAGTGTCCATGCACACAATCCCTCCAGAAGTTAATTCAAATTTTGAAAAAGACTGTCGACAACAGGTCACCGCAACAAAACACCTTGCCTACAAAAGGGTTAGTACCTGTGTGTCACCCACTAGTTCCTGGCATGGTGTGCACCATAAAAAAAATAACGCTTCCTTGAAATCAGAACTTCCTAGAAGTCCAGTTTACCTGAGCAGCTCAACTAAAATCAGGATATCTTTGCTTTACAGTAATAAAAATGCAAGTGGAAAAAAGAGATCTATATAAACGCTACCTTCTGTGTAATGGGAGAATGCAACTCGACAGATTCTGCCATTTGGAGAATGATTTGCTGACTCGGTCCTCCTTTGACCGCAGTGCTGGAGATGGAGAGCTCCAGCACAGGAGTTGGCTGTTACAGCACAACTCACTCCCGTTCCTATAGGGCACCGTGGCAAGATAACGCAACTCAGCGCACGGCGTTTCTTCCCTAAATGGAGAAATGCTCAATGACACTTACCTGCAACGGACAGACTTGTCCAAAACTGTTAGCATTGCAAGTAAAAACCAGCCAAAAAGATGATCAGCAGACAGCGTGCAGGTATTCAAAGCTGCTTTGTGCCTTGCTGCTGCTGCTCCAGCATGTACCATGTACCCCGTGTGCCCGCAGTGGGAGTTGCTCTGCCCAGCACTGGGGGAGCCCTGAGCTCGTCCCCAGCTCCACAGCTCGCTCGGCACTCACCGGCTGCGCTGGAACCGCATCTGCAAGGGGCAGCGACCTCTTCCCGTGGCATCCACCTTCCTCCTTTAACCAGCACTTAGTGCATCTCGGCCATCAGGGCTTCTTTGTATCTGGCTCTACAACACACCCGTAATCTTTTCTTGTTAATGACACAAGAAAAAGAAAAGAGTTTTCCTACAGTCTGTAGGAAGCATCTGGCTGGTTGAGCATGGCTTGGGATCTTTTAGCCACTGTGGTGAAAGGTAAGGTTGGATAGAGACTTGTCCTGGTGATGGACTTCTAGCAGTGGACTAGTAACCTCATGTTAATCTTTTGTTTAATTCAGAAAAAAAATAACATAAATTAAAGGTTTTTGGGTCAAGAACTGATAAAACAAGGTGTGAAGTTATGACATGAAAACATTATTCAACGTTATTTTCCTTTAAAAGAGCACTGAAAAAAATCAAGGCTTTATTTGAACAAATGTTACACAACATTCTTTATCATTTACTTCTCAGCAAACCATAAAGGGTGAATCATATTTTCCTCATTCAAGTCTACAAAATGAAAGAGGCATAGTGACCATTCAATATACAGACAAGAAGGTAGCACGGAGCAAAGCTTAAATATTAAGCAACTAAAGCAAAAAAGTGAAAAGCAATACATTATTGTAATTCTCTATCATTAGAATATCCCTGACAATTTCATTTCAAAATGAAAATCTGGTTTCAAACAAAATGGCTGCAATACTTTCTGTGAAAACAAACACAAATACAGTTAGCTACCTTGTCTATTTTTATGCTCTTTGCTTATATACCCATATTCTCCAATGCAGAGACCTGCATCTCTCTTAAATGTATCTTTTATATTTCAGCTGCTGTGCACAAGAGCTCACGAAGGTGAGGAAATAAGAGCACTGGCTCAGAGTCAGATGTCACACAGGCAGGCACTACTGGCTTCTACTTACAACGTCAATCAGTTTTCAATCCAATGTGCAATAACCCTGCTATTACAGTCCTGGGCCTTTTTCCTGAGCAGAAACTGTTTGTGCCATGTTGTTTGGTGGCTTCTTTTTTTATTTGGTTTCCTTTTTCTTTTTCTGTGTGTGTGTGTGTGTGTATAAAAATGTCATTGATTAGGCCAAGACCCTCATTCATTGTCAATACAATCGGGGTTTGGTCTCCGGAGGTGAAAGGCTAGCACATCCCTGACATCAAATCGCCTCCCCTTTTCTCCAATCAGATGTCTTAATTTTTCTAAGTTGTAGTCAAATCTCAGGGCACGAGCAGGACCAGGCTGCTGATCCTCTTCGACTGGTGAAAGGGAAAAGCATTGCAGAACACACACTAATCTCAAATTAAAACAAAAAGAATTTGTAGTTTATGATGACAAATGGTACAATTTGAACCCACTATATGGCCTTATACAGCTATTTTTAAAGAAGTAGGCAGCAGGTATTCAATTTCCAGCTTTATAAATAAAGAATTTACCTCTGAAAAATAGAAACCGAACCGAGACCAAGCACGAACTGCCTCGGTACGTGCGTGTCGCTCATCCCCTGTCCCAGCCTCTCACTTCCCCCGTCCGATTGTTTAACAAGTATGAACCTGTTGCCAACACCAAAGCCAAACGATAGAGTTGTCCTAACTTCAAATTCTACGTGATTAATTCAGGCTCTGTAGGCAAAGGCTGTGAAACTCTTTGTGCCGACACAGATGCCTCTCAGAAAGGAATCTCTGTTTTCAAATGATCTAACAAAGACTCTATTTTCTCTCCAATTAAAACAGGATATTAGTAAGGAGGAAAAGAGTTTCCTACAAGTCTTTTCACTTCTATAGAAACAAAACTTTGACGTTTAGTAGATTATGTGCACATTTTCATTTCTTCAAGACAATTCTTTATTTTCCCAGGTTGTATAATAAATCCCCTGCTAAGAATTCTGTAAGAAAGGGTACTGCTGGAAAAGTGTGCACACAATGTCAAATCATCAGTGACAAATAAATTAATAGTTAATTACTCAATATTTCAGCAGCGTGTCCAGCATTACAAGCTCCACTGAAACAAGCCTTACCAAACACCTTCAGGGGAGGGGAATAAAATGGATAAAACCCACTGGGTTTCTTTTTTTGATTTACAGCTATTCAAAGAAGTCAATGCAACTCAGACCAACAACCATCAGAAACACTACTGAAACCTTTGCTCTACTAGTTACCTATCTGAAAAATATTTACGTCAAAAGGAAAAATTAACCCATGTTTTGAGATAGAAAAGCCATTCCGTTTAATCACTCTCCATTCATGATTCCCATCCTGTTATAGTATTATAAGCAAAATGCTGCTCTCTGCGTTGTAGCCCCTCTTAACGTTATTCCACAATCCTCAATTCCCTAAGTGTTACAACAGCATAAATAAAATGCAACCAGATTCACACAGAAGGAGCTTTCCCATAACGCAAAGATAAATGGAGTTTGTGGTCACTGCCCCTTCCATCACCTCTATGGGAAAGATTGGTCTCATATAGCAGGACTGTTCATATTTTACAATACAACTGGTTTTGGACATGCTTTTGATCACAGATCACAGCTCTGCTAACACCTGCACTAAATACTAACTAAGCCTCATAGAATGGAAAATTGCAATGCTAAAGTTAAGAATTAAAAGAAAAGTTCAAAAGTTACAGTCAACTTCCCAGGCAATTGGCTCCATCACTGGCACCTATCAAAACATACAAACGTGACTGTCACATTACAAAAAAACCCAGTTATTTGCAGTGATTCTTCATACTAATAATTCAAGTGGTTCCTTGCATGTAAGTGTCATATAGTCTTTAATAATTTCATGCGTCATTTATTGCAAAAAAGTTTTATAAAATATTTCCTAACATCTTTTTTTCGTTTTAAAGAAAATGTACACTAGGTACAGATACCCTAACAGGGCGCGAGGGGGGCCTTCAACATATTTACCCCCTTTCCCCTTCTAAAAATGTTTACTGCTTGATGAAGATATCAGAGGAAAAATAGGACAATTCAGCCTCAGATTTCTTTCAGTCCTGATGAGCTGGTGGCTCTTCGTGGCAGTGTAGTGAGGTTCCATAAAAACAGCAGTTGACTAGTGTCTCTGAGCTGAAAAGGGGAGAGAAAGGGAAAATAGTTAAACGCCTTCCAGTATATATTGCAAAAGTAGGTAAGCAAAGTCTGAGATGGCCAGGGAAGTTCTCAGTTCACCTGCTTTGTGCACTGTATGCAGAAGACCAAAAAAAAGCCTATTTACATTATCACAAGACATACACAAGTGAACAAACTCCTCAGTTGACTGGAGTTTTATGGGAAGCTACTGTACCAGTCTATGTTACATCTCACCCCGTTTCAGCGTCCAGAGAGAATTTCAATTTTTAAAGATGTTTGAACATAGCTAACAAAGGAGGAGACCAACATACGGAGTCTAAACAACGGCGTGTGGTTCACAATGCAAAGCTAAATCAGACACTGTAACGTCATTCCAAATGGAAGATCTAAGCGTGCACGGGAGCCCTGAAGTCCAAAGCTGCTGATTATGTTCTTCTCCATTATTGCTTATGTTTTCCCATTTGCTCCATGGAACTGGTATAAAATGATGCTACAGCAGGCAGAAGCAGCCCAAGAACAACTGCCCCAGCGGTCAGTAACCGCTCAGGGCTGCGTGGAGAAGGCACTGCTCTAGGATAACCGGAGCTGGAGGACACTTCTGGAGATCATCTGCTCCAAGCCCTTTGCTCAAAAACACACAAGAGAACACAAAAAAGGGTTCCAGGCCAGCCCGGTTGAGTCCTTTTACCATTCTGTTGGGCTTTTGGCTGCTAGGATTATTTGAGAGGCACACACACATTTTCCACTGCTGACAACAGCACTGTGAATAACACAACTGAATTTTAAAAAAGAGAGACTCATGGCAGGAAAATCCTAAAGTTCTTCCTAAACAGACAGCTCTGCTGAATAGGATCCGAAAGAAATATAAAAAAAGGAGAAGTAGGAAAGAGGAATGTATGAAAAGGGTCCTACCATAAGAGGAGGCAGGGAAGACAAAGGGGGTAACTATGGAGTTTCTCAATCGCTCGGTTGCTCACTGTGCCACAAAAGGACAATGTAAAACACAGAAAAATAATGCATTTTATATCCTAGACAATGCAGTAGAATTAAAATAGGAATGAATTTTTGTGAAAGTTGAAACAGAAGAAATGAGGACTAATTATCAAATTTCACAGATGCAGGCAAGATGCACTGAGCTGCTGGATGCCAACTACAGACAAGCAGGCATTCATTCCAGTACCAAACACGTCCTCATTTGGGTATGATACACAGAACTGATCTATAATTAAGCTTATTTTAGCTATGGGCCACTCCAAGATGCAAGAGAGAAATCTGCAAAGAGAAGGATGCTTGACAAAGTTCCACTGGACTCAACAGTACTCGGTGTCGGTGCAGGTAACTGAGCACCACAGTATTCCAGGCTGCAAAACACCAATAGTGAGTATTACAGCATACAGCCAATAAGTTCTCCAAAATAAGATTAATATTAAATTAGCATCATGTATCCATGAACCAATCACAGAACAGAACGTTAGGGATTGGAAGGGACCTCAAAAGATCATCTAGTCCAATAGTGGGTATTACAGCATACAGCCAATAAGAAGTTCTCCAAAAGAAGATTAATATTAAATTAGTATCATGTATCCATGAAGTCTTGCAAAGAGAAGCTTTTATAGTATATCAGAGACCCACAACCTACTCAGAAATATCGAAAATCCCATTAAAAATTGGATAAAAGTTCAGCCAGTATGTCCAGCACCTGCATTTCCAAATTCAAGCCTCAGTGACACTATTGCCAGTCAGCAAACTTCTGTGGTCTACAAAGGAGTAAGTGCAACAAGAATCACTATTGCCAGTCAGCAAACTTCTGTGGTCTACAAAGGAGTAAGTGCGACAAGAATTTGGTTCAGTCACCTGAGCACAGCACAACTGCTGGCAGGCCTAAGGAAACGAGCGGTTCCCTTGGACACGGCGCTCCCTCACGCCAATGGCACTGGCACTTTGCACACCTCCTCCACCGACCCAGCAACTGACGCAGCTGCAGTGATTTTCAGAATTGGTGCTCGGCAAAGTCTGTTCCTTGCAAACCTGGCACTCGTGTTCCTTCCCAATTCAGCTCCTACAGCTTTATTTTGCTCCAGCTCTTACCGTTCAGAGACTCCACGATGCCCTTAGCGAGCACCAGGAGCTTCGTCTCTCCCACTGACGTTTACACACCGTTACTGGTGACTCCAGATACACCACCGGTCTCCTCCTCTAGTGCAGCCCAGTCTTCTGTTTTACCAGCTGCAAGTCTCAGTTTATAAAAAGTGACAAGTATCGGATATCTAATTCCAGACCTAATGCACTGATATAGTACTGGATTAAACGTTTTCACGTTAGTGAAGTAAAAAACCAAGACTTCTTCATGTAAATCAAGCTCCCTTTACAGCAACTGTATGTTCTCCTCACTGCCCTATTTCCTCTCCAAGTCAAAAAACCAAAAAGAGACAAGACACATGCATACATCCATGACAGATGTAGGTAGTAAATACGTATTTGGGTTACAATTCCCAATAATGTTGAGCATCTGCTTGGCTTTCAACACGTGCTCTAAATTTCCTTACGGACTTCGGCAGGCACTGAAGTGAAGCAGTTACCAGTGCCCGGTAAGTGTTCCTCCTTCAGATCAGGGCTTTGGAAAGGGGAAAAAAACCTCAACAACCACACCCAAACCCAACCACCACCACCCAAGAAAACTTCATTTTCCTAGAACAGAGGCTCCCTAGCTCTGGTCCATCTGTCATCTGCAAGCTTCTCAGCAAGATCTTCCTGCTTATGTTTTCAATTCTTTTCCTTGTTTCAGGTACTACACTTCTTTAAAAAGACTAAAATGTTACTAAATTCCTCCCTGATTTTACTTTTACACATCAGCAAAGGGAGGAAGCGGCGCCTACAATCCCAGGCAGCAGCTGAACTCCCAGCAGGGCAGATCCTGCGAAGATGTGATCCACACAGCAAACATGTTGGAGGATTGCTGGCTCAGGAGACAAAACCTTTCTTTTTAATTTATTTTTTTTTACCTTTACGTTACACCTGTCAAACTACGTAATCTGACCGTGTGATACAAACTCCAAGAAGCAAGGCTAAAGAGAAACTTAGTGCGGCTCTTTTCAGTAAAACACCCATCACTCCTCACACCAGGTTAGTTTAGGGAGAACGGCTGTGTCTGAAGTGCTCAAATAGAAGAGGGAAATAAAATAACTGGTAGCTCATTACCTCTGTCCTAACCTGCTTTGCACGTGATTAGTTGGTAGCACAGCGCACCCTTCACTTTAGGCAGGGCTTAAACCAGACGCAGCTGCCAACCTCCCTGACAACTCCAGTGCCCCCAGCCTGAATGCACAGCGGTTGTCAGACCCTGCAAGGGAGCAGCAGGACTCCTCAGGCTGAGGTAAAAAGCTGCCATTTGTGGAGACCTATGGTAGAAAAAATCCAGTTAACAGGAGTAAAGAATTGATGGTGGTTTAAAAAAAGAAAACAATTAACCTCCTCGCCTGCCTGAATTCTCACCGGGTGTGCTCCCTCTGCTTTTCGGACAACAGCACACCAGGAAAAAATGCTAAGAACTCACAGAAAAATCAGATACCAGGTTTTTTCAGCTTAAACTGGAGTTTACCAGCAGAGTTAAAGGGAAATCACACAAAATTTTGCAAACTAGCAGACAGCAAAACAAAGTATCCACATATACAAACACTGTACTGTCCACTGAAGAACCTGGTGCTAAAAGCCAGAGGGATACAGTGAAATTTTGCTGGACACAGTAACTACCTAGAGTAAGTGGAAACTGAAGCAGTGGATTGTAATTCATGGTGAACATGACCTTTCTGTATTTTAGAGTAAAAAGGCAAACTTAGGGCACTATCTAATCCGTACTGACAGCATTTTACATCCGGTGTGTGTAATGCAGCCTGAGATAAACCAGATTTTTTCATATACCGAGAAATGCAAGCGTGACAGCAATTACAGCAGTACAACTGGTGGCCAAATCCAGTTAATCATCACTTTCCTTCACGTCTTAGATTTGTCTTGCTTTCTAAAATGTGAAAACCACCACCCCTTTTTAGGACATGACTCAGATGAGGCACCAGTTTTCCCTGCCAGGTAAAAACCATAAAGATGAGATTGTGCCTTCTGTTGGCACACAAAACTGCGTGCACACTACATTCGTTATGGTCAAACTAGCAAGAATTTCTTTATTATAGTAATTAAATTTGCTTAAAAGAGAAGCAGATGACTCATGGTTGCAGAGCATATTGGAGTTTCTTTGTATTTTGCTTCTCATTCTTTATTACAAGTATTATAAAAACTGTTCCCTTTTGGTTGCTCATAGTCTAAACTGCAATTCAAACCCTTCTTGCCAGTGGCATTATAATCTTTGTTGAACTGATTACAGGATGGAAGAAAACTGAGACAGCAGAAGGTGAAAGAGCAAATGGACCAGTTATGATCTGAGGCAAAAATCCAGGGTAAAAAGTAGATTACACAATACAGGTTTATTAATTTCAAGAGCATTTCTAACTAATGCAGAATCTCACTACTGCAATCCATACCAACCATACCCTTGTTACCTGCACGTTTGGCAAAATGAAGGAATATGATATATTTTGTATGGGAACCTTTTTATTGTCACTGCGGAGTTGACTTCACCATGCTGCATGTGGACTTAGGCCAAACCGGTGAGAAGCAACCTTGGGCTGGACTGCTGCAAGGTATGAAAACTGCTTAGGGGATGTCTGATCTGCCCAGTTAAAATATAATTGGTTTTACATTGTTTTCTTTGGATCAATAGCAGTGTTTTGTACAGAGAAGATATCAGGCAGGAGTATACAAGATTAGGCTCCTCAGATACAGTGACTGAACAATAAAGCCACAGGCGTGCAGTCACGTCTCTTATTCTCCTTGTATTGTGGAGGAACATTTCTTACCCTGTGGATTTCTCTGGTCTGAACCACGCGGAGCAGGGACTGCTGACCCAGAGAAGAAAGGGTACAAAGAGCGGGGTCGCCACAGAGGAC